AAAAAAAAAAAAAAAAAAAAAAAAGGTCGGCTTATGCGCAAGGCTTCAAAACAAACCGCTGACCGGCTCTAGAGGGACTCGGTAAAGCGAGTGGCCTAATCTCGCTGCCAAACATACGGTGAGAGCGCTTCGCCCCTTGACCTTTTTTCACAGCTGGCAGCGTTTCAACACCGTGGACCCCATTGAACCGGGCAGCATATGCCGCCTGGCTTAACGCTCCCCGCTGAGGTCCGTCAAGCGCTCCGCCGTCCACATAATCCCACACTCAAAGGCACATCAGTTGCGTTTCTCTCAAGGCCCAGCCTTTGCCGCCAATCTACGATGTGCATTAATCTACTTAATCTGTTTTAGTGAAGTTGCAGTATAGACTCCAAGCCTATTTCCTCCTGGAAGGATTTGTGCTGAAGCTAGTCGTGCTCCTGTCTGCAGTTTTTAGATGTTGCGTTCTATGGTTTTCATATAACTGGATTAATCAGGGGTTGGGAAAAACATGCATCAGCCAAAAACACACGCGGCTAATGCACAACACTCTTCTGAATTAAACATGGCCCGGAACAAGCCGTTCTGCAGAGGTTGACAGGAGAGTAAAAAACAAAAACACTATTACGCCTCTGCCTAGAACCCCTCGAGTCATTCAGAAAATTCCTTTAGCGTAACAAGACATCCGATTAATAAACGAGAGCTAAAAAATAGTGGGGGAAAGTTAAAAGCGTTCACAGCTGGAGTTGATCGGTGCCACAGATGAATGACCCAGATGCTGGAGCGAGCATTGCGTTGCCTATTTTCTGTTTCGCTAACAAAACATCCAGCTGTTCTCGAAGACGACATTCGCGGGATTTGATAAACGAAGCCTGCCGTTTGCAACCTGGAGAGAGCGGCCTTAGCTTCTAGGTCACAGCTTGCTGAGCCACTCGTGCGACGTAGCATTGACAATCCTGTATGGTTAATCACAAGGCTTTCTTTTCACTTCAAAGAGCCAACTTGAGTATTGTGCTCATGGGAGTGAATCAACCACAAAAGATGGATTCTGGCTAGAATGGGCGTTAACAAGAAGTTACAGTTACACAACAACCAAATAACTCTTATTTTTAGTCAGTATTATGCGTTAAAAGTACACATCGTGAGAGGAGTAGCATTAATTAGTGTTTTCAGTTTGATAATGAGTGCTTTTGTCTACAGATGTAAACGACTTTAACCGTTATGCTTCCACTCCTCAGATGGCAAGTTTCTGTGTTTTTGTTTTAAAAGGTCAAGTAAATATCAGTCAGGTGTATTATCTGCTTCCTCTAGACATAAATGGCTGTCCGGGAGATGATGGACCCGTCTCGCTGGGACTCCATGTCGTCGTCCAGGTAAGGTGCGCACTCGTCTTCGTGCCGGTGGACTTGGTAGCTGGGCGGCAGTCCGCTGAAACGATCATACCTTTCGTCCTCTTCTTCATCCTCCAGGCTGTCGTTCAGAGCGTCAAACTTCCTGCGCTCGGCCTCATTCATCTCGCCGCTCAGCAGGATGTCATGGGCGGTTGGTGTGCTTCCGGTCATGCGCGGGAACTCATTGCATTTCTCCGTCAGGGTGCCCGGGTCGCTTTCGCGGTACATGTAGATCGGCCCGTTGTTGTTGGCTCCAGCGCCATTCTTGCTAGCCTTCTTGCCTCCAAAAAGACGGGTTTTGTTGCCATAAGCGCCCTGCTCGCTGTCGCCCGAATATCCATGCTGATGGCGGCGACTTCGCATCACTAACACGGCGACCAACGCACTGACCAAAACGAGTGCCAAGAAGCTTCCCAGAATGGCTCCGGCCACCACGCCAGCGCTGGAAGGGTCTTCAGTCGACTCTGCAGAGGAGGGGAGGGGCACAAATGAGGAAGTTTCTGCCTGGTGGTGGTAGCTATTCTTCACCATAGGTGGTGGTGGTGGTGAACGATTTGGTTCAGTTTAGACTGAGTAATGGTTTTTGGCTGCCCCCAGTTCCCAGCTACAAGTCCTATGGTGTGAGCCAAGTTTGCCGGATCTGCTCTCGGGTCTCGGTTCGAGAAAACAACACAAACGTCCGTTCTTTCTACGCTCGGGAGCTGACCAGATGAATTACACTACACAAGTGGAGAGTTAAAAAGAGAAACACACAGATGGAGAAGGGATGTAAAGATTATGTCACAGTATGGTCATGCAAAGAGGAAGAAGTGTAAGTTACACTGGGAACGCGGCACTCCAGCTAACAGCTAATTGGTCAGCTTGCGCATTCCCACCAAATTCCTGGGAACGTGTCCAAGTCACAAACACTAAAGGAACACCTGCTTCAGGTAGGATTAGCCCTATTTCATGCTGCACAGAGCCTGCATGGAATGTGCTGCTGAGGCAGCGTGCACAGGAAGTGATGTCTATATTCATATACATATATAGTGGTGGTGAAGTCAAGAAAAGTAATTATATATACAGTCTGATTTAATCAAAGGTTTTCTGACCGAGACTGTCTGTGCAACTTAAAGCACAGTAATAGTTCTTTGCAAGTCCACTGCATTGATTTTGGTTACATTACTTTATTAAAGAGGTCAATATATTATAAAACGCTGGTCCTACAGCTAACCTTATAAATATGCAAAGCGACAGAATTATGGAAAAGTGCACGAGTTTGAGGTTTTGTAAGAAGTTAAATGGATTAAAAATACACCCAGCTCAGAGTGGTGCTTGTCAGTGCAAAACTCGTTCCTACAATGTAAAGGTGTTGTAGGTGCCAAGGTATCACTAAGTGGTCTCTTAAATTGCTTTGAAATACAATAGCACAATTTCCTCAAGACGCACAATTTGATAAATCATATCATGGCCATACAGTAGCTCTAACTGTGCAAAAAAGTTTGAGTTGTTTCTTTCACTCAAAAAGACTCACAATCTCATGAGTTAATGTTTGAATCATAACAGAAATTGTTTTTAATATTTATTTAACCTCCTGGGGTCGACAGTTCTGCCAGCGGAACTTTTTGCAGATTTGAATGATGACCGCGAAAAGAACTAAAATGCTCCTTCATACTTGATCGTACATATAAGAGTAATACAGCATTTAAATCTGTAAAGGGTCTACTTTTATTTGTGTACACTCACAATATCAACAAAACATTGTGCTTTTGCAAAATAAAGAAAATAAACAGGGTGTGCTTTTAGCCGTCTCATAAGATTCTTTTAATAAAAAAAAAAGAATGCATTAAATGTTCTGTTAGGTCCACACTTACTTTAGACATTTCTATTACTTTTTTTTTTAATTACTTTTCAAAGACTCTTTCTGTATGATACATTGATTTAAGTGTTAAGAGTTTTACTAGTCTTTTTGAGTGATTCAGTGAATCATTCACTTAATCAATTATGTCAAAACACTGATTCATTTAGGAAACAAACAAGTGAATCGCTATACGAGTGAGTCATTGAATTATTTACTCAAGCGATTTGTTCAAAAATGCTAAATTTAGAAATGCCACTACTGTGTGTTGCTAACAATGCGCTTTAAACTTTTTTTGTTAGCGGATCAACGAAAGAACTATCAATATTGTTTCTAAAATGTGTTACTTAATGTTCATTTCTTTTTTATTGTTGTATAAAATTTGCAAGCACGCTGTTGGTCTGAATATAAATTAGGGTTAGAGTAACAGTGACCTTAACCTTAGCAAACAGTGCTACTGAAATAAGCTGAAGCTTTGTAGGTTGTTTAATTCAAAGGCCAAATAGCATGCACACTCCTCTAAACTTATGCCTCACTCTCGGTCAAGCAATGACCAATTCCACCTCCTGCAATTTCCCCCGTTACCATGACAATTTCAGTCATTATGGATTCAGGCTACTAGAAACAAGTCAAGAAGCTTTTTTAAAAAACAAAACAAACAAAAAAACGTCTCTGCTTTGCTCGTTTTCACGCTACGGGCTTCTGAACTACTGAGAAACGTTTCATACAAGACAAAAAGAAGAGTGGGCTACTGATGAAACTATATGTGCGAACATGTACAAGTACATTAAATTCCTTCCCACACAATTTGGATACGACTTAATATTCCTGCAACATAACGAGCATACGATCGCTCCCTCTCCCACACACTTTTTTTCCTGTTCGTTTGCTCCTCCGCTGGTTTGTTTTATCCCAGTCCCGGGAGATATAGAGGTGCTAAAAGAGCTCTTTATTAGGATACCCTATTCCATTTCGCTGTGCCTCTCATTCCACTGTCATTAAAGTCTCTTCAAGCCCTGCTGCTACTGAAAACAGGCTCGCATGTGGGACTGAGACGCACACATACACACGACTACACAACCGGCTAACATCCCCAATCTCTCTTAACCTCACTCTCCTGGCGCTATCTCTGCCAGATGCCACAGCTCAGGATCCATTATTCATCGGCCTGGCAGACAGTATCTGTGAACCCCATGGTCGACATCTAGCTCTGAGACTGAGAGACAAAAGACAAAGGTGGGTTGAGGAGAGATACGGCAGCGCTTCATCGTGATTCTGAGCGCGACCGAACAAATAGCTTGTTACATTTTGACCGCTCTTGTTCTCAAGTAAAAAAATGGAGCTGCACTCTTAAAGGGTTACTCCACCCCAAAATGAAAATTTTGTCATTAATCACTTACCCCCATGTCGTTCCAAACCTGTAAAAACTTCGTTCGTCTTCGGAACACAATTTAAGATATTTTGGATGAAAACCGGGAGGCTTGTGACTGTCCCATTGACTGCCAAGTAAATCTGTTCAATCTGAATTTAATGAAGCGACGAGAACACTTTTTCCGTGCAAAGAAAACAAAAACAACAACTTTATTCAACAATTCGTCTCCTCTACGTCAGCATAGCACCATGTTGAATAAAGTCGTTGTTTTTGTTTTCTTTGCACAGAAAAAGTGTTCTCGTCACTTCATTAAATTCAGATTGAACCACTGATGGCAGATGGACTACTCTGACGACGTCTTTCATACTTTTCTGGGCCTTGACAGTGTAATTTACTAGGCAGTCAATGGGACAGTCACAATCCTCCCGGTTTTCATCCAAAATATCTTAAATTGTGTTCCGAAGACGAACGAAGCTTTTACGGGTTGGGAACGACATGGGGGTAAGCGATTAATGACAAAATTTTCATTTTGGGGTGGAGTAACCCTTTAAGACTTTTTTCAATTTTAACGATCCTGCATCTTTAAGTGGCCGTAGTGTGAGGGGGCTTAACCTTTTTTGGGTAAATTTAAGATATTGTTATCCAAATGATGGCACTTGGCCAGCAGGGAAGTCTCGCGCTATTGATCCACTTCGGGGCTAATAAAACATTAAGTCGCCGAATTTACTAGCACAACTCTTTATGAGTGTTATTGAAAAACGTTGAGTTCCTACAACCCACATTGAGAGTGAACCTTAGAGGGTTGTGGAAGCTGTTAAAGGTCATTATGGTCTAAGAATGTTGATGGGATCGCGGACAAAGCACCTCTTCAGACCTCGTGACCTTTAACGTGTCCGCTACGCTCCTTGAGTGCCATAACTACAACGCATTATTATTCTGCCACACTCTGTTAATGGCATGCTACAAAACCGTGCGACGTTTCAATTTTCCTGCATACATGCATAGCTGGAATCGGTTGCTTGGTAGAGCACATACTTAGGATAATAATGTGAGAAATTATAACTTCTGAGAGAGTTTATTAAAACACAAAGCCTATATAGAGCGCATTAGTGCCAAGTATTTTTTTTCCATTAATTTTTTCCATAGGGATTTTTGAAAAAAAAAAAAAAAAGGCTTAAAACCGTTATAAGGCATGAACCAAACCAACTAGCTATAAGGTGAATGATAACATTTCCAATTTTGATTTGAAGCTAAAAAGTATTTGAAAATGGGATAAAAAGACAAAGCTGTGTACTTAACGGCTTTAATGAGGGAAAGAACTACAATCCCATGAAGCACTGCAAATAAATCTAATTCAAAACAATGGAGAACTATTGATTTGAAGATGTTGCTTATATATACACATTACATACAGAATTATAACTCATTCTCAAGATTTATAAATATGCATTGCGATTTACAATTATATAGTCAGAATTATAACAATAACTATATATTCACAATTTTTATATTCAAACTATATTTTTCAGAGTAACTTCTATATATCCAAACATAGCTATATAATCAGATTTTACTTTATATATACACATTCATGATTAACATTTATATATTCAGTCCTGTATCTATATATTCAGACTTATATCTATATATTTAAATTTACATTTATATATTATCAATTACAACTGCATACTCGTGATTTAAATTTATATATTATATTATTATTTATATATATAAAAATTAACTATATATAAACTATATATACAGTACTTATTTACATTTATATATTAAGATTTGTATCTTTACAACTGTACATTCTGGTTTTATATAAGTTTTTCCTATTTAGCCTTTCATATGAATAGATACATACTTTATACATGAATGTACTTTCTACTTACAGAACACAACTGTATTTGCATACGTAGAAAGTTCTCTATACATCGCGTCATCAATTTCCTGGTAGAATTGATAAATTCCAACTATTTTCAACTCAACAAAATGGCACCTTTCCCAAAGCACAAGAAGGCACTAACTATAATTACGGCATTCAGGGTTGTAATTTATGCCATTATTCATGTTTTTCCCAAGCTATAGTTTGTAGATAGAGACCACTCGGCACTCTGATTGCTAGCAGAGCTCCACATCACGCCGCCACACAGCCGGCCGCTTTTCACTCATCTATAAATGGTTCCGATTTATAAAATAACACAACTACCACCCCAGGTAGAACTACGACTGCTATAGAAGCAATCAATCAC